AGAGAAACAAAAACCTTTACAGCGTCAGCTGGCACCACGTAGCTATCGAGACGCATTCGAATTTATCGTCGAAGTCAAAGACTTGAACATAAACGGCATGAGAATGCTCTCTCTAGACGTCTCATCACTATTTACAGACGTCTCGGTTACCGAGACAGTTGATTACATGGTAAGAGTACCTATTGGGGCGGCAGAAGTTCCTTATGTATTATAAACACCAACTTAAAAGTTTTAAGTAGGTTGAATTACCCAAAGTCTTCCAGCTTTCTGCACAACAGCCGTCGATTCAGCAGGGATTGGATGATGGCATTGGACAGCAGAGTGGTCCTCGGAAGCCAACCGCATACAATAACCGTTTAAGTCGGTATACTAAGCAAAAATGGCTTTTTAAATTAACCACGAGAATAATCGCCCACTTACAAATTTTAAGTAGGGTGAATTTCCACAATCTTCAACCTTCTTCACTCGTTCGCCTTTATTCTAGTTGGGGTTAGTGCTACTACTAGAATAAATATACCTCAATGACCTCGCCCGAGGTTAGGCCACACTCCCCCGACATACACGCACTCGCCGCTGGTCCGGTGGGAAGTTAGCGATGATATTAAAGCGTACCTTAGTGTCCATGCCCGAGGTTTGATTACGCGCCCCAACTTACCCTCGCAACTTTTTTATTTTACGGGATTATTGCGATCTTATTTGTTCCCTGGCATGCCTCACCCGTCCACTCCCCTAAAATCAGGAGCCCGTAAGACCGAGGGGCGCGCTTATCGCGCTTCCCCCCAGGCGGCCCTACGAGGTATTCCTACCGATTAACATTTGCGAATACCTATTGACAAATCAGCTAAAAATAGGAATACCAATAAATACCATGAAGGAACTATTACTAAGATGCACCCTAAATGTGTAGTTCCTTTTTGACAGTCAATTCTACAGACCAATAGACGGCGTTGCCATGAGCTCGTCTCTTGGACCACTTCTAGCTGACATATTCATGGGCAAGCTGGATAAATTTCAATTAAGTGACCAGATCCACCGGTTAAAACACTATGGTCGCTACATGGATGATATCTTCGCCATCGCTGAAACCGAAACCGATGTAGACGCACTCTTGAACATTATCAGCCAAGCACATTCATCCATTAAGTTCACGTATGAGGTGGAAACGGCAGGTTCTCTTCCCTTCTTGGACGTCCTCCTAAGTCTTCGTCCTGACGATAGCGTCCAAACGTGCGTTTATGGAAAGGAAACCTGGTCCGGACAGTACACGAATTTTAAAATTTTTTGTACCCCTTCAACAGAAGCGAAATCAAGTCCGCTGCTTAGTTCAAATGGCTAGAAAAATTTACTCAGCAGACAGTATAGAGGAGGAGCTCAACAAAATGCAGAACCTTCTTCGCGTGACTAGGTATCCTGAGAGATCTCTTACAAGCAATATGGCTGCGAAGCAAATAAAAACCACCGCATTTACAGTTGAAAAGAAAACACTATTCCCCAAACTCCCCTTTCGAGGGGACGTGGCAAGTGAACTGCTAAAAAGACGCCTTGACCAAGCCGTTTCAAGAACCTTCCCAGCAGCCAAAGTTCGCGTATTATTCTCAACCAACCCTATCTTACATGGGAAAGGTAAGGATAAGTTACCAGCTCAGACCACCTCCACGTGCATATACTCCTTTACTTGCTCCTGTGGAGAAGGGTAATATTGGTCGCACGAGCC